CCGGTTATTTTTAGCATCCACCTTGTGCTCAGCACAGAGTGGAGCAACTCTTCGGTGTGATCCCTCCTCCACACCTGCAGTGCCGGAGGGAGCCTGCGAGCTCCTGTGCCACTGTGCGAGCTTGTGTGCTGTGCTGCCAGCTCCTGCGCCATGGCGCAAGCTCGTGCCTGCTGCGGTGTGCTCAAGGGGGGTCCCTGTGGGTACAGCCCTGGCAAACGAGGGCTGTGACGAGGCAAGGAGGGTGCTGAGCTGGACCTGGTCGCAGGACGCTCTCCCGGCTGTGGCATGCCACTGGCTGCCGTGCTGCCCAGCAGAGCCTGCTCCCCTCTGCCCGGCAAGGCCGGCGCTGAGCACAGTCTGCCCCGTCGAGGCTTTGCACCCATCGGGCAGCGGCCGTGGGGCTGGCAGCCTCTCCTCCTGCAAAAACATCTCCCGCTCGGGCTGCCACGCTGCTCACGGCACGGCTGCCAGAGCAAACCCAGCAGGATGAACCGCACCGTGCTGCACTGCGCTGCACAGCCAGGACATGTCTTTCTGAGCCGGGGCAGGCAGACCCAGGCAAGGCTTCTGGCACAGCCGCACCTCGAGCACCCGGTTCTGCTGGGGCAGCTTTTGTCGAGACCCCACCCCACGCCCGACAGCCCGGCACATTCCTGCCTGATTTATGGCAGCAGGATCTGCTGGCCTGAGCGCCGCGGCACGCAGGCAGGCACGCCACGCCGGCTCTGCCTCTCCCCAGTGCTGGCAGCCGAAGCCCAGCACAGTTTCTGCCCGGAGGCAGTGGCTGGTGGATAAGCCCCCCAAGGAGGGGTGTCAGAGCAGGGGCTGCGCAGGCAGGAGCTGCCCAGACGCCACAGGGATGGATGCCGCAGCCCTCGCCCCGGCCCCGCTGCCCCCAGCCCCTTGGTGCCGAGCGTCTCCCGCTTTTCTCAATGACAACTTTGAACAACTGCCAGCAGAGCCGCAGCCGCGGCGGCCGGGAGGGGGCTATAAATATTACCACGTAACTCACCAGGCACGCACCGCGGGGCCGCCGACCACGCGGCGGCACATCAGCACATTAACCGGGTCACCGATACACCCTCTCGTCCCGTGGGCATGCCCGGCACGGCACCCTGGTGGCACTGGGACCTGTGGGTGGCCGTTGCCCCGGCTGTGAGCAAGGGGTATGACCCCCCTCCTCCCACTGCCCCCCCAGGGAGGATCCGGATCCCGCGGGGCTGAACTCGCCCGCCGGTGCCGATCAAAGGGATCAATGGGGCCGTGCGATAAGAGGGGCAGGGCACTGCAGGAAAGCCATAAACCCCCAGTTCCCCTGGAAACCTCGCAAGGCTCGCCCGGCCCCCAGCAAACCCCCTGGGAGGGGGCAGGAGCCGCCACCGCCAGCCCAGGCTCCCCAAAGCCCCTCTCCTGCCCCAGTGAGGGGTGCGCGTGCAGGGGCGCCCAGAGGGACCGCAGCACAGGGGGAGCGGAGCGGTGACCCCCGGCAGGGCAGGGACAGGACGCGGTGCAGCGGGCACCGCCGCGGTTTTTCGGGCTGAGCTGCGCAGGCTGCTCCCGACCGACCGAGGGACGTTGGGCCAGCGCCAATCCAGCCTCCCCCGTTTCCTCGAGCGGCTCTGAAAGCCGCACGCAGAGAAAGGGCTTCCCCGGCGCCCGCCGCCACGGCACGATCCTGCAGGGTGCTGAGCCCCCCGCCGCCCACGGGGCTGCACTTGAGCCTGTGGCTCCACTGCCCCTGGCACCTCTAGCACCCACCATGGCTCACCCCAAGCCTAACCCCCCCCGCCCCGTTAACCCCGCTAATGGGGCGACAGCCCTGCCTGCGCAGCAGGAGCTGGAGCAGAGGCTGCAGCCTCCCGGCACTGCCGCCGCCCCAGAGGTGCTGCACCACAGCACCGCGGGGACCCCCAGCATCGTGGGGACCCCCAGCACCGTGGGAACCCCCAACCCACGGAGCGGCACCAGCGCCACTGCACGTCCCGCGTGTCAGATACAGGCGCAGCAGGCGGTGTGCCGGGCGGCCAGGGCACGCTCAGCCCGGCCGGGGGATTAAGCCCGGGGAGGGAGAAGTGCCGTGGCGCAGCGGAGGGGAGCAGGGGCTGGAAAACCATCGCCCTCCTGCTCGGGAGAATGGAAAATGTGAAAAACCAGAAGTGCTGGCAGCATGGGGCCATGCCCCCGGCGCTGGCAGGGTTTTGCCCATCCCCAGGGAGAGCTGGCAGCGGCATTGGCCTCGGTCCCCGTGCCATCCCCAGGGCCTGGGGTCCCGAATCGCAGCGGGGCACGGGCACGACCGGCCAGCACCAAACATGGAGCCGTCCCGGCGCAGCGCCCAGCACAGCACGAGGGGATCACGAGCAACCTATTAACCTGCAGAGCTCTAAAAATCGATTAGCCGTTTATGAAAACATCGGTTCATTCAATTTTTATAAAGCCAGCTCTTAAATAAAGCCACTCTCCCCCAGCTGCAGGTGGGAGCTGCGGCCGCATTTGGGAAGGGATGAACGCGCCGGTTCATTTACTGCTGTGACCCCCCCGGCTGTGAGCCCCCCCGGGCTCAGTCCCAAGGGGAATGGACGCGTTTAAGAGGATGAAAGAAAATTAATCGTCAGCTGAGGAAAGCGTGTGCCGGCCAGGCCGCGGGGATTAGCGTCCTTCCATGTGCCCCCCACCACCCGCTGGCCCCGGTGGTCCCATGCCGAACTGCACTGGCTGTGGCCACTCTCCCCCTGCAGCCAGGACAAAGCCACGGGGGGCTACCAGGGCCAGCGAGTGGAGGGAGCCCCGTTCCCGCCCGGCGCCCTCGAGGCCCTGCCGGCACACCCAGCCGCGGCTGACGGGCAAAGGACATTTCGCAAGCTGCCGCTTGTGGTTACTGGCGAGATTTCGACAGCTCCGCCGCGCTCAGCTGCTGCTCGCCGGCCACCGCCGCCCCGGAGCGGGGAGAGGGGCTCAGCCGGGCCAGGGCTCCCCCGGCTGCACCCCCAGGAGCCCCCCTGGACCCGCATCTGGCTCTGCCGACACCAGCAGAACCACCTGGCGCGAGGGCAGCTTCCCAGGGAGCTCGGCCAGCAGCGCCGTGAGGCAAGGACGTGCTCCGCTGTGGTCAGGACGTGCCCCGCCTGCACGGTGGCGGGCGCCGCGTGACCAAGCAGCATCCGCTGAGCTGCCCCCGTCCCCCCTCGCCCCCCGGGCACAGGCAGAGACGTGGAAGGGGGCAGAGACGAGTGACTTCCAGCAGCCCCTCGCAGGATTTCCTTGCATTGACAGCATCCCGCGTTCGCGGGGACACCTCGCTGGCAGCCTGCGGCGCTCCCGTGCTGGCGAGGACGCAGCCGAGGAGCCGTGCACCCTGCAAACACCAAAAAGGCAGCGTGGGCATCGTAGGAAAGCTTAGATATTGGGTCTCAAAATAAAAATTGAGGAACAGAAACATGTTCTTGTTTCAGCAGCGTGCGAAACTGAACACACAGCCGGGCTCGGCACGGACTGGCTGCCGCTGGCACCACCGGACTGAAATCAGCAGGTGCTGATCCCCGGCTGGTGCCGATCCCCAGCTGGTGCCGACGGCCTGCCCAGCACGCTCAAGCACGGCTTCTGCTCGGCACAAAGCACGGTTCCTCGCCGGGGAAGCGTGGGCGGAGGCGGTGAGGCTCAGTGCAAAGGTAACGCCGGCCGCTGGGCAGCGAGCTGCAGGGAGAGGCTGGCCCGGCGCCGCCGGCGCCAATGAACTTCCATTTCAAAAATAGATTTACATTTCATAATTAGGGAGGCCGCAGGGAGGTGGAAACAACTTAATCTGTAACGCAGCTGCCCCGAGAATATCCTCTTACCGTGGGGAGGCCGCCTGGCTGCGCCACCCCACTGACGGGTCCCCACGGCGAGAGCGCGGTGCCAGGGGATGCCGTGGCACAGCCGACCCCAGCCCGGCCGGGGGGACAGGAGATGCCCCCCACCTCCCCAAGAGCCCCCCAGCCTGGGGGATCCGGCCCTGTGCAGCCGGTGCTCCCAGGGCTCACCCAGCACAGGGCAAACGCCTGGTGCCACCGGCATGGCTGGCTCTGTGCCGCAGTGCCAAACCCGCCTCGCCGCCGGTGCAGCCCCCATCAGCTCCAGCCCTCCATCCTTGCGGCTGGCTGAGGACGAGGTGCCAGATGGCCATTGCCAGCAGATATATAATTAAGTGGAGGAGGAATTAGGAAGGCGGCGGGTGGGTGGGCGGCGCTGACCCCGCACCCCAGCGCCTCGGCAGGATGCCGGCCCGGCGTTTGGTGTGGATGACCGGATTAACGTTTCAAACCAGATTACAGGAAAATCCCAACCCGTTGGCTTTCAAAGGGCTGGCGGGGAGGCGGCCCCTCGGCAATGCCAGGAATGCAGGAGAGAGCCCTCGGCACGGGAGCAGTGCGTGCCGGGGGTCTGCCGGGAGGCACCGCGATAGCAACCCCTCCGGAACAGCCCACCGCCCTGCTGACGGCCCCCCCGAGCTGCGGGCAAGGAGCGCAATTAAAGCAGGGAGGGGAAGCGCCATTTAACAAGGCTCCAAGAGCGCAGCCCCGGTAATGCCGGGGCTTATGCCGGAGCCAGGCGAGTCTCCCCGTCGGCAGGAGCCCCCACCAGGAGCCACAGGGACCCCCCAACCAGAGAGCAGGGGTGTGCGGGGCTGGGTCTGCAGAGGAGTCCGTGTCCCAGCCTCCTGGGCCAGCGTCCCACGTCCGAGTCAAAAACAACCCCCCCCATGGCTCGGTTCCGGGTTTTCAAGCCTCAGGGAATAATTTTCAAGTTTCTTTTCCATCGCCAGGAAGTCTCGACACTCTCAGCTTTCCTCCCTTCTCTTCGAAACCGGTTTGGGACGTGCACACCGTGAGCTCGGGGGGGACAGACCCCCCAGGGCCACAGCGGCAGGGCCGGGGGGCTGGTGACTCCTCCAGCAGGGCCGACCGCCTCGCAGGGGCTGAAAAGGCCTGAATTTCTGTATTTAGGGAAAAAAAATACAACAAAGGCAGGCGCAGGGGAGAGCCCACCCCGGTGAGGCGCCCGCGGCAGGTAGCAGGGCGAGCGTCCTCCCTGATTGATTCCAGCCGGCGGCGTGCGGGGAGGGGGCTCCTTCTCCCTCTCTTTCTTTTCTTCCTTCCTTCCTCCGAGCCGCCCCCGGGGACGCGTCCCTTTGTCCCGCTGACAGCCGAGGGGCAATGCCGGGAGGGGGAGAGAGACCGTGCACGCTAACGAGTTATTTAATGAAGAATAAACACGCGGGTGGTGTTTCCCGTCCTGCTCCCGGCCGGCGCACGCAGCCCCCTGGCACACCGAAGTCAGGACCTGTGGTCGGGGGCAGGGGGGGCACTTATTCAGAAAAAGAAAGTTATTTGTAAAAACTGGAGGGAATGGTTGGCGACGAGCCCCAAAATGAAGTGTTTCGGGTGACGGTGGTGAGGTGGTTTCCCATAAGATGGTGGCTGAGTCAGGGCTGGGGGTGCCCGAGGCCACGCAGCCCCTTCCCCGGGCCGGGGTCTGCGCAGCCCCTTCCCTGGGCAGCGCCGTCGCGGTGAGCGGGGGCAGTGCCAGCGTGGCCCACCGGGCGCGGGGGCGTTGGGTTTGCTGGGGCTGATTCCTCCTGGCAAAGGGAGATTCCGGCCCTGGCACAGATCCCGCCGCAGATAAAGCACTCAGCTTAGGGACAGGTCACCTCTCGCCGTCCCCATCCCTAATCCCCTGCAAGCCCCCCCAGCGCACACCCTCCCCTCGGGAAGGGGCTGCCAGGGGGCTGGGGCGTGCGCCCCCTCCCCCAAGCCCCAGGGGCGGCCCCCCACCACCTCACTCGCCAGCTCCAAGGCCGGCTGAGAGTGGATGGGGGGGCCGCGGGCCCCACGCCCCGGGGCGTCCCTGCCACCGGAGTGCTGCCGGGGCCGCCTGGGGCGGGGGGCCACTTCTGTGGGGGGAGCCGGGGAGTGGGCTGAGGAGCGCTGGGCCCTCACTGCCGCGCTTCCCGTCGGCACTATTGTTCCCGCTGGTTCCCAGCATTGTCCCCTCTGCGGGCTGGCACCGCCCAGACTGGGACATGGCCCCACCGCAGGTGCCTCTCCACACCGGTGCCCCCTCCTCGGGCTGCGGGACCCGGTGGGCGCCAGATCCATCGGCGCTCCTGCGGCACAGGGACAAACCCAGTCCCAATCCTCAGCCATCGCCCCGAAGGGCTGAGGGTCCCGAGACCACCCGGGCTTCTGCCAGCACCTGCAAAGCCCCCGAGTGATGCTGCAGCCGCATCCTGGCTGTGGTCCTGTGGGAGCCACCCCACCAGACGCAGGGCAGGGGACAGGGACGAGCAGGAGCCCACAGCACCGCGGGCAGCATCCCATCCCAAACCGAGCCCCCCAATGGGACGGGGTCCCATGCAGCCTCCATGCCCGGCCCCACCGCCTCCCCGGCCAGGCTGGCGGGAGCAGCCATACGGGCGACCCAGGGGGACGTGGGACGGTGTCAGCGCTGACATGGCGGGTGTCACCGTGCCACGGAGGGGGACGTTGAATGGGCGAATTAGTCACCGTTTAACCTTCCTGACCCCCCATTGTCCGCGCGCCGTCGGCCGCCCTCCCCAGCACGCCGCGGGGCCGCTCCTGCCCGGCCAGCCGGCAGCCACTGGGATTCTCCGTGTGGATCCACATCCAGACACTGGAGCCGTCCCGGCGCAGCATGCTGCTGGGCCCAGAGCAACGCTGGCTCCCAGGACGGCTGCGCCGTTGCTGTTTTTCCCCTTCCTGCAGAGGAGGAAGTGAATCCTGCTGCAACTGCATTTCAAACGACGTTTTCAGAGGGACCTGCTGGGCGGCAGCTTGCCCGGCTCTGGCTAAAACAAAAACCGGTTCAGTGTCTGAACGCTGACGCGTGGCACAGGCTGCCGAGAGGTCACCGCCGAGGGGCCGGGGGAGGTGGATGGGAGTCAGCCGGGCAGCGGCGGCTCTCCCGGCCCTCACTGTGTGCGTGCCGGTGCATGCCCTTGACACATGCTCGCTATCGCACCGGACCTTGTGCAAATATTAATTCAGTGGAGTCAGGCAGTGTTGAGAAAGCTCGTCCCAGGGAGCAACACCCAGGGCCCGGCGCTCATGCTGCTGGTGCAGCTCCCCGCCACCAGCCGGGTGGACCCCAGGTGGGCGGCCGAGCTGGAGCCACACAGCACGGACCCGGGGAAACCACGGCCAGAGCAGCAAAGCTTTTCCCAATGAAAAAGTGGTGCAAACCCTTGGGGCACCTGGCGAGCCCCCGCCTCGGGCTGTCCCTCCCTGTGTGCCCCCAGACCTCCCCGTGGTGACACCCAACGGGGCTGGCAGGTCGAGACCCCCGGGTGAGGACCCGGCCCGGGTGCGGGGGCAGCTGCGCGGGCAGAAGCGGCAGCTCCGTTGGCCCTTGCAGGCGAGCTGGGGTTTAAATTCCACCATATGTAAATGATCGCCTTAGAAAGGGGATCGCTGTAAGCCAGAGCAGATGAGTCACCCGGGGCTTCCACCGCCCGGCCGGGGATTTGTCTAATTGCAAATCTGTTCCTGAAATGCGAGGTCCCGCACCTCCGTCTGCCCATGGGACGGCCACTCCGCCAACCCTGCCAGCGGTCCCTGCCGCGGCGGGGGTCCCGCCAGCCCCGCGTGCCCCGGCCCTGCCCGTGGGAGCTGGAAGGGGTCCGGCAGCCGCAGATGGTTTTGACAGGCAGCCAGCTGCGGGCCATCAGCCCTGGGAACCATCACCGCTGAGCTGCTCTGCCAGCACCGAAACCTCGCTGCTTCCTTGCACTGCTGGTGACCCACAGTGGGGAGGGGGACAGCAGGGGACACTGCCGCAGCTCCTTTGCCATGGCACTGGCGCAGCACCAGAGTGATGCTGGCTCCGGCAAAGCTGCTGTCCCACCGCAGCACCGGAGCAGGCGGCAGCACGAGGCGGCACACTGCAGGTGTTCGAGACCAAAAGCAGGCGCTGCTGCCTGAGCCGGGGTCTCCACGGTGGCCGTGGGCAGAGGAGTGCTCAGGAGGGACAAGGAAGCCCTTTCCTGAAGGGCCACCATCACCGGTGACAGGGTCACCCCCTCCCCGCCATACGCGTGGGGAGCGGGAACCGGCACGCCTGCCCCTGCCCGGGGAGCAGAGCCCCGGCCCTGAGCAGCCCCGGCGCGGGGTGGATTACCACCAGCTCCGTCCGGAGCGGGGACCCAGGCACAGGCAGATCAAGTGACCGACTGGAAGGGTCAGGGAGCGGGTCAGGAGCCGAGCCGGGAGCTGCACCCCGACCCCCAATCCGGTGCCCCGGCAGGCTCAGAACCCGGGGAGCGGCCGCGCGGGCAGAGCAGGCAGCGCAGGCAGGTGCACCGTCAGGGACGTGCCCAGGGGAGAGCGGGGAGCTCCCCCCATCCCCGAACCGCCCCTTGCCCCGGCCCCCGATTGCGGCACATCCGGCCGGGCCCCAGGACCGGCTGCCATTGCTCCTGTGGTTTGGGCCAGAAATAGGGTGATGGAGCAACGCCATGCCCTTGCCCAACCACTCCGCTGCCGGGCGGCTGTTTGCTTTGCTGACAAAGGACCTGCTCTTGTCTCTGCTCTTTTTTTTTTTTTTCTTTTAAATAAACCTTCATTCCTGTTAGTTCAGCTGTGCCGGAGCTGGGAGGCGGCCGCCTCCTCTGCAGCCCTTGAATCAGCCTGGGGACTGGGGCCCTGGGGGGCACGGGGCGCTCAGGGGGACACCAGTGGCGATGCCCAGGCTGGGGGGAGCCAGCCCGGCTCCTGAGCCGAGGGGTGCCGGGGGGACAGTCCACCCAGGAGCAAGCCAAGTCAGCTGGGCAAAGCTGCTAGCTGGGCACCTGGGGCAGGAGGGACACATCTCCCGTCCCCACCTTGTTAATTATCCCGGGTCTCACTGGGACAAACAGCCTGACGCAGTCCCTGGACGCTGGGACTGGCACCCGCAGGCTGTGCGGGCACCCAGGCGTTGGGCTGGGGGAGGCGCTCGGCAGCTAAGCTGCTCTCGCCGAGGAGAAGTCCCTGACCCCTGGCCAGGGGTCCGGCAGGATTACGGCTCTGGGAATGCTCCCTGAGCGCTGTGAGCCGATTACCGGGCTGGATCCCTGGCCAGGAACACCCTTCGGCGAGCCGGACAACGGCACGGGGCGAGACAGGCAATGGCTGTGCCGGGAGGGCACAGCCCTTCTCCCGGCACGGGTCCACCTGCGACTGAACCGCGGCCCCCGGCACCCCGTCCCGCTCCAGTCCCCTCCTCGCCCCCGTTATCTGCCACCAGCCCAGCCAGGCGCCGCAATCGCCTCCTCCCGGCGCAGAAGGGCCCGGCTGGGGGCCCCAGGGCGCTCCCCTTTATCTGTGCCCCCGCCACGCCGCGGCACCAGCCGGAGCAAAACTGCCTTTGGGGTGGGGGGACGGCAACCCCCAGCCGGGCGACGACGCTCGGGTGCCCCTTTCCCTGCACAGGGGCCCCCTCGCCCTCCCCGGGGGCGGCTCATCCGCTCTGCTGGCTAATGCAATAAAGCTCTAATCAATATTTTAAAGAAAGTAAATGGACCCTCCCACCCTTGTTAAGAGGCTGCGGGGCCCTCGCTCCCGACCCTGCTCCCCCAGCCAGCTTTGGGCTTTTTAAATAAAAATAATCCACAGGAGAAAGGGGTTCAGGGCTGCGCACCAGGGGCTCTGCCACCCATGGGGGCAGAGGGGATCCCCCATGCCTTAACCAGAGCCCAGAGCTTCTGCGTGGGGCTCTGAGCCCCGGGGCTCTGGAGGAGAAATGGGCTTTTCCTCAGCCCCTCCCGCAGTTCCCCTAGGAAAATCCCAGCTTCGCCTTCCCAGGAGCTGCTGCGGCCCCGCCACGCGCGCAGCCCCGGATGGTCCCCAGGCCGGGGAGCGGGCAGGGCACGGGGTCCGGTTTTGCCCCTGCCGCGCCCAGTGTGCCGCCCGCCGAGGTTGCAGAGTTGCTTTCGGTTTATTTTTTTTTTCCCCTAACCGTTGCACTTTGAAATGCCGTATCTCAAGATAAAGGCTGAGGTTTTCGCCCCCCACGTGCCACTGGCATGGTTCAGACGTCCCCATCTGGGACAGCTTAAGAAACCTCCCACCCCCCCAAAGTACCGGCACCCCACCGCCGGCACAGCCGCCCCCCAGCCCCACGCCAGCTTCTTAAAGCCTCCAACGCTTCCTGCGAATGGAAGCCAAGACGGGGGGTTAAACATCGGCCTGGGGCACCCCAAACGGGGCACCCCAAACGGGGCCCAGTGGCTGCTGCAGCCAGGGGGAGCGGAGGGAGCACCGGGGGTCCGGCCCCCCCCATGCCGCCGGCCGCCCTCCTGTGGGACGCGGTGACAGGGGGACTGGGTACAGGCACCCGGGGGGAGCGCAGGCAGCTGCTGCCTGTTGCAGGCAGCACAGGAAACTCCAAAAGGGGCAGAGGCAGGAAACTCCGGCCTCGTGGGCTGCCGATGCGCCCAGGGCTCACGCTCCCGGTATTAGTAGGGCGCAGTAATAGCAGTAACGAAACAGAAAGGTCAGGAGGGGGGTTCTCCGTGGGGCAGCAGCACAGCCCCCCCCGCTCACCCACTGGGGCATGGACATCAAAGCAGGTTTTTCCCCGGCAGCCCCACGCCGATGGCAGCAGCTGGCTGGCCAGGCATTACGCAGCAGTTTGTGGCGGCATGCAGCAGCACCGGATTTTTGGCAGGGGTTGGCTGAGCCGCTCATGCTCCGGCGGCTTGTCAAAGCCCGGTTCTCACTGCAAGCATTGCCCTCCGGAGCGGCGGCATGACAGCAAACGTCCATGGTGCGAGCCCCAGTGAGCCCCAGCACCTGACCACAGTGCCCTGAGGGGCGGGTGCTGGGGCTCACCCCCTGTCCCCCATGGCACAGCCCTCCGTGGCCGCCCACGGCCAGCTGAGACCCCCACGGCCGAGCCCAGCTCCAGGCTGGCAGGCCAGACACGCCAGCATCGCCCTGGCCCCCCGGGGACCTGTCGTGCCTTTTGGGGTGAGGCTAGAGACAATCCCAAACAGCAGCAAACAGGCCCTGGCCTGGCCGCGCAGCCTGGCATGGCAGCACCATGGGGCAACGTGCCGACATCCCACCGGACCCCTCGGCTCCCATGACGCCGCCGGCGAGGCTACAACAGGCACAAGATCAAAACGAAAGCGAGCCTGCCCTCGCTGCCGGCCAGCGTGGGAGGATGACATGATGGCCATTCCCCACAGGGAGCCTCCTGCTCCAAAAACGCCCCCTTCCCCCCCAAGGAGCCATCATGCCCTCGGCAGCCGCTGCCCCCTGAACCCCTGCCGCGCTGGGGGCTCCTTTGTTCTGCTGCCTGCGCGGGCAGCGCCCCAGGTCAGCCGCCGAGCTGACCTCTGCCTGCGCAGTAGCCGTCCCCGGGGACGGGGAGGTGCCACGCGCCAGCTCCCTAACCTCCATAACTCTTCCTCACGCCCTCCCCTTCCTCCCCCTTGAGCCAGACCCCCTCCTCCTCCTCCTCCTCCTCCCCGACTCCTCACGGCTCAACGCAGCCAAGCCTCGGTTTGCAGGAATCTGTCCCACATGGGTCAACAAAACCTCGCAGTGGAGGACAGGGACAGCTGCCTGGCAGGCACGGGCACTTGGGGTTTTGGTGTGGAGATGGGCACGGGGACTCGGATGATGGCAGTGCCGGGCAAGGACTGCGTCCCTGAGCACAGGGCCAGGGAGGCCGGGGGGCCGAGGCCTGGCTGGGCTGTTCACCGGCACATCCAGCGCTGAAGCCAAACCGCAGCCGCAGGGAGACCTGGAGAGCCCCGGCGGTGGTGGGGGCCGGACCACCAGCCCTGAGCTGCCTGGGGGGAACCCGAGCCTGCCTGCAGGCAGGGAGAAAGAAATCGGAGTCACCCGCCTCCCCAGACTGAGCCCATGCAGCTGCAGCTTGGCCCCAGGAGGTGCCAGGGGGGCCCAGCTCAGCCGACGCGCGCAGGAGGCCGCACGCTCCCCGCAAGCTTGTGGGAGAGCAGTGGTGCTCCCAGCCTGAAGAGCTCCTTTGCAAAAAAAGAGGAACCCCAAAATAGCCCCTTCCTCGAGCAGCGTTCCCCCACTGCAGCGGGAAGGCCCAGCGCCGGCATGGCCACGTTTGCGGCACCATGCCCCCATGGGCTCTCCCGCGCGGGGGGATGCGGCCGCGGTGCACCAGCACCCTGGTGCTGCCAGGGTTTCCCCTAACGTGCCTCTTCCCCGGCGAAGGGGCGGTAGCAGTGGGAGCAGGGGCAGGGAAGGGGTAAAGCATCCCCTGCCAAGCAGCGCCGGGGCCACGGCGGCCACCCCAC